TAGACAGCTGGCTAATAATCTTGTAACCCAGTCTTGTAATCAGGGTGTCACATGGGGTATGGGGGGAGATGGAGAGGATTTGGAGGGCTTTGCTGCTCATCTGAATTTAGATTTTGATAACTGCGTGTAGAAAACTTTAGCTTGATTCTTACCAGTAAACATTTTAACATCCGTCTAGAGTAAGCAAAAGTAATGGAATTTCATTGATTGGTTTTAAAGAAACCCAACAGTGTGAAAGCTAATGTCTCTTCCTTTAAAGCAGTAATCAAAACTAGCTTCTGCTGTACTGTCATCAGAACACTAATTGATAACTGATTGAATGACAGATAATGCCACGTGTTTCTGAACATGGCTGTGTTATCATGTGTTTCTGTTCTTACTTGCCTTGAACCAGGATGGCAAATTCCAGAGGGCTGGAACTTTCAAATGCTTAAATGTCCATGTGATAGATCCTAAAGTTAAGAGAGGGTCTTTGGTAGTACTGTAGTGTATTTAAGCAACGTTGATCAACGTGCATTTGGAGATAGTTCTAATTCCTGTAGCTGACAGCATTTTCTTTACAACATGCAAGCATGTGCATCTTCGCTTAAATGGTGAGCACTGTTAAAGAATGAACTGAATATATGAGTATAATGTAAATACAGAAGAAGGTCTTTTCCCCATTTTGCTTGTGTGTGATCCTTCTGCATAGGAAGGGAAAGATAGCTTAAATAATGTGGTAGGGTGGTCAGAAAACATAGGCATGGGTAAAGTTCCTGATTTAGAGAGGTAGAGGTGGCATTTTTCCTCCTCTACATGGAGTAGAGGACTTAAAGTTCTTCAGCATATATTGTTGACATTAATAGGTGCTTTAATCAGGCCATAGGAACAGACCTAAGCAAATATTTAAGATAACAGTATAGCTGCAATGGTGTGGAGGTATAAGGAAAATGTAGGGAATGGGATAACACTGATTTCTTTAACTAGGCTGATCAATTAATTTGGAGAGTGAACACTTGCTTAATTTTTTTGCTGCCCTTTATACCTTCTTGGGTAGACAGATGCAAAATATCAGTAGACTCCAGGGACAGGAAGAGTGTACTTTTTTGTTCTACAGTAAAAAAGTATTTTTATACTTTCTTGAAGTTTGCATATGAGGGAAAACTGCATTTGGCTCCATACAGAAACTGAACAAATAGTGTAACACAGCAAATCCTGTATTTCAGGACCGAATACTATTATTTATCTTTATTTCTTTATTATCAATTAATATTTTTGGGTTTATTACCCATGAAATCCTATGGCTAGCCTGTGGTGCCACTTCATCCATTTACAACATAGACTGCTGCTTAATCTTTGTCCCTTGGCTCCTTGTTTAGTGGGTCTGCGTGAGGGGGTTGGGGGTTGAAGTTACTTTTACTACTACACATTTTTTACAAGTAGTTCTGTATCTTCCTGATGTTCTCCCTGATCCTTGGTTCCCTGTCCCTAACCTCCTTTCCTCTACAGGTTTTCAGATCTTGGGTGTGCTGCCATGGAGCTATTGCACTTAGAAACTCAGTTCCTATTGAGTGCACATACAATGACATGTTGCTACTTTAGGTCTTTGCTGTCTTGTCAGATTTTGAATGCACTTCGCACAAATTCACAGCAAATGATTTCTTTAAAAGTAAGGATGCAGCGGATTAAGCCAAAAAGACTCTGAATACTTGCTTACAGTTAAACTTTGGCATGAGTAGAGAGATTAGTTGCAAAACATACCAATACATAGATGAATATGCCCTTAGTGTATTGTTTATCTGTAAAACATCATAACAGGCAGACACATTTGGAAGTGCTTGCCCTTGGTCTAAAAATTATCTTTGAGCTTTTTTGTTCTGTTTTTATTACTGGCAAGGAATAGTTTTACTGATTTAATGAAAATTATATTTCTGGGATGTCATGAAGTTTAGGTGTGTCTCAGGCTTTACTGAGATTCATTTACTTTTCAATGTTTAACCAGTCCATTTCTTATACAGAGGAACTTCTTCAGGATGGAGAGCCATGTTTCTTGGCTTTGCTGGATTCTTGGGATCATCTGACATAGTCTGACCTGCATCCACCTTATCTTTTTTGACAAGGCATATCCATTCTTCAGGAGAGGTTTTTTCCACACATTGAACCTTGAATAGTTAAGCAGCACACCAGAAATGTAAGTTTGATGCATGCTGGTAAGACTTAAGATCAAATTTATGCAGAAAATGTTGTGGGGTGGGTTTTGGTTTGGTTGTTTGTTGTTGTTTGTTTTGTTTTTCTTTTTGCCTACTACATTTGGCAAGCTATCATTTGCAAAAAGTGTAATGAGCCTTTTACATTGGTGAGGAAAATATAAATATTGTGTTTAAAAAAAAAAAATCCCACTGGGAACTGTTAACAATTACAGCTGTCATGAGAGATCACAGTATTGCTAAACATGGTGCTTCAGGTTCTGGAGAAGCTGACTTTTGAGTCTCAGCTCAACAAAACAAAGGTTGTGTTTCAGATAGCACTGATTTAGGATGTGTGTCTGGCTTTCATAGTGTTGCTTTATTTTTTGTTCATATAGGTCTTGCTTACAGCTGTATTTGGGGATGGTTGCTTCTACTTTTCTTAGACCACTGAAAATCTATTTTGCGAAGGAAGGAAAGAACTGTTTTTAGAACTTAATGCATTTTTCTGCTTTTCTGCCAAAATATTTAGAGTCATGTCTTGAACGTCTCACCAGGCTCCAATAGTTGTTAAAGTGCTCCTAAGACCGTTTAACAGTGGTAATAAAGATGGTGCATTTGACAGAATACATCCTGGAATATACACAAACCATGTTTTGAACCTACTAAAGCAACGCTTCTAGATAGACAAGATCAAACTTAATGTCCTTGGTGGGCCATTTCTAGTACAGGAAGAACATGAAATATGCTTACTTCTGCTGTAGAAGCAAGTCAGTCTTTCTGGTTCATGGTCTCTGCTTGGGGAAAGCTGTGAAGCTGCTGCTTTTCACAGTAATGTAAACTTGAGATGACTAATGCTCTAAACTAATTGTGAGAATTCCTGAAAGTGGTGCCAAGTTTATTTTTTAGATAGTGGAATTAGAGGTAGAGGAACTCTTTTATCCCACTCAATTATATCTCTATCAACAATTCATCTAAATCAGATTGAATCTCTCTGGGCCTTCCAGCAACTTTTGACCTGTTATACCCGAGTACAGAAGGAACAAAGAACAACAATTTACTGTAAAAATAAACTTAATCCTTTTTTTGAACCTGTTTAATCTGTACAGAATTACCTTCCCTGTTTCTAGGTTCAGCTTTATAGTAATTGGGAAGGCAATTACCCTGGATATGTACTTAATTCACCACAGGTTTTAATATTAAAATTCCCTTGCTCATTAGATACACGGAACATTGATTAGCATGGGAAAAGCTGTGATCAGTGTGTTTCATGAAAATGTGAAAGACTTTTGGTGTAGGCAGAAAAAGAATAAATCATCAGTTTCTCTTCAGTTTATTTTAGGACTCTTGCTCTGCTCGGATTGCCTGGATTCTTATCTCTCAGCTCTACCTTTGTGTTATATTTTAGTCGATAAACTGATACAACATTGAGAATTTGGTGAAAGTTCCTTAAAAAGTCTTTAAACCTGAATCTGTATCCTTTTTGAAACTTAAAAATAGGTGTCACTTGTCTTTGGCAATACCCCTTTGAACAAAGGAGCATCTAAATTCTTTTCTGCTTACCCACTGTGCAAGCTAATTGCTGTAACCTGTGGTGAGGAGCTTAGGTTAACATTGTACACTAAACTTTTAGGCAAGATAAGAGAAGAATGGTAACAGGATCATAGCTTTTGTTGGCTTTATGGATACGTACATGTGGAATGTTTCAGGGTTTAGGTCTTTCCCCTTTTCGTGAATTGCCTATAGCAATTCCTATTGGAGGAACAAGGGCTGCAAAGAGGAAGAGAAGACTAATTTTGCGGAAGACAAAGCCTATGAGGACCTCTCTTTCTACAAGGCTTTTTGTCCTGGAGCTGTTAGAATTTGAGCCCTTGGATTTTGTTGTCATGTGAACTTTGACTACTTGCTGTATATTGGGTATATACTACTTACTGAAGTAGCAGGGGAATCTCCTGGAAGAATGGGATCATCAGCATGGAATAAGCTTGTGTTAAACAGAAGGGATATAAAAGTTTGTTTGCTTTCAGTGTGCAGATTTGGCTACATAATATAGGAAGTAACTATATCTCTCTAACAGATTGCCAGATGTGCATATACAGTAAGGAATATGGAGACTTGTTTTAATATTTTTTAGGATATTAATAGGTGAAAGTATCAAATGTGAGAAAAAGGGCTTACCCCCCCCCCCCCCCACGCGC